CTACATGGCTTGGTTCAGTTGGAAACAACTTTCTATGATCACCTAGTATTTCTCATGGACAAAACTGCACAAAAATACATGCAAATTTTGGATTATGCTCAAATCGTTCTCTAATGTATTGACATTGGAACAGATTCACATTTTAAAAACGGAACTGGTTTATTTTTGTAAAACAGTTATTGACTTGAAAATAAATCCTGATAAAAGCAGAATGGTTTTGACCTGATAGCCTGGGCACAGTGGCTCACACTTGTAATCCAAGCACTTTTGGAAGCTGAGGGTGGATCACTTGGGGTCAGGAGTTTTGAGACCAGCCTGGCTAACATGGCGAAACTCTGTTTCTACTAAAAACACAAAAATTAGCTGGGTGTGGTGGTACACACCTGTAATCCTAGCTACTTGGGAGGTTGAGGCAGGAGAATTGCTTGAACCTGGGAGGCAAAGATTGCAGTGAGCCTAGATAATGCCTGGGAAACAGGGTGAGACTGTCTCAAAAACAACAACAAAATTCTGTCTGACCTGACAAAGAGGAAAGAAATCCTTAAACTTCGTTTGAGACAGGTCTCACTGTGTCACCCAGGCAGAAGTGCAGTGGCATAATTATGACTCATTGCAGCCTTGATCTTCTGGCCTCAAGTAATCCTCCCTCCTCAACCTCCCAAGTAGTTGAGATTACAGATGCATGTAAGCATGACCAGCTAATTTGAAAAAAAAATTTTTTTTTTTTTTTTTTTTTTTGCAGAGACGGGAGTCCTACTATGTTGCTTAGGCTGGTCTTGAACTCCTGGGCTCAAGCAATCCTCCTGCCTCAATCTCCCAAGGTGCTGGGATTATAGGTGTAAGTTACTGCACCCAGCCCGAACTGGCTTGACTTTACAAAGGATTTGCATAATTGTTAGAACCAGTCAAGTGAACAACTGTTATAATATAAACCCATCTCAGACAGCAGCCCTGTGTATAACTTTGGGCAGTAGATCTTGTTGCCCATTTTGTGTACAAAGAGATGGCCAGAGGTAGAGATTAGCAATATATCATGGACAGAGACTAAGGAGAAGAACAAGACTGAAAGACTAGTGACTAGGAGGTCTGGAGAAGAGGTACGTTGTTGAACACCTCAGAATAGAAGTTATTCTGATGGCCAGACGTGGTGGCTCACGCAATCTCAGCACTTTGGGATGCTGAGGTGGGTGGTTCACTTGGGGTCAGGAGTTCAAGACCAGCCTGGCCAACATGCCTGTCTCTACACAAAAAAAAAAAAAAAAAAAAAAAAAAAAAAAAAAAAAAAAAAAAAAAAAAAAAAAGCTGGGTGTGGTGCTGCACACGTGTAATCCCAGCTACTTCAGAGGCTGAGGCACGAGAATTGCTTGAACCTGGGAGATGGAGGCTGCAGTGAGCCAAGATCACACCACTGTACTCCAGCCTGGCCCAAGAGTAAGACTCTGTCTCAAAACAAAAAGTTATCCTGAGAATAGAATACAAGGATAATGGTGTTCATGTGAATGTTCAGCCAAGGGTGCACACATTGCAGAGACGATTTTTAAACATCAGGTGTACAAGATAATCCATTTTGTGAACACCAGTTAAGTCCATAGCCACTTGAATCCTTGCTCAATAGGCCCATTTACAAATGGCCCTGGCAACTAGGTTTGAGTCTGTGCTTGCAGATCAACAAGATAAGACCTTCTACACCAAGATTAATCTGGCTATTGGTATAGTCAGTGCTCAACCTGGAAGGAACAGAGGGCAACGATGAGTCCCCATTATAGCACCATTCCTTGGGAGATTAAGTCAACTGTCTCGTGGCAAGATGATTACACTGTCATGATTCATCATGAAAGATATAGTAGTAGATAATCTACTCTAACTATCCAACTGCTTCTGGAAACACCACTGTTGTAAGTTAATCATGTCCCCTCCAAATTCAAATATTGAAGTCCTAATGGCCAGTACCTCAGAATGTGACCTTACTGGAGACAGGGTTATTAGTGTGATACTCAAGTTAAAATGAGGTCATTAGAGTGGGACCTAATCTGACTGTTGTCCTTATAAAAAAAGGGAAATTTGAAGATGAACACGCACACAGTTCAGAGAACACAATTTAACGAAGAGGGCAGAGATAAGCAATTAATACTGGATAAATTTAAAAGAAAGCAAAGACAGTCAAAAAATATACGCAAGCATAAATTTTCTGGCTTTCTGGTGAAAGAAAAGAACGATTCATTTAGACAAATTTTCAGGTCTGATATCCACAGACACAAAATAGTCTGTGTTTATGCAGGCTTCATACTAGATAAATTAAAAAGCAAAACAGTCACAAATTAGATGTAGACATAAATTCCCATAGTTGTGAAAGAAAGGAATTCATTTAGGCGGATTTTCAGGTCTAATATCCACAAACTCAACATATTCCATCCTTAAGCAGCCAATTGTGATACTGTAATTAAATATAAACTTACATGATCCAGTCTTGTCTTTTTTATAGATTGATCATCATTAAATTCATCTTCCTCATATGGCTCTGAAGAAGAAGATAATTTTCTTTTCCTGGGCCCACCACCTTTTAAAGCAGAGCAGCATATTCAAACTTTGCACAGCAATAGCAAAAAAAATCAATTTAATGTAAAACAAAGGCAAAAATGTATTATAATGAATACTAAACAGTTCTCTTGATAACACGCCCAGTGTTTGCTGTTCAACATGACTGAACTGAAAAAAAGGAAATATTCTTTGCAGTTGTTCAGAAGTAGAAATCATTATAATACTATATTCATAAACCATTATGTTATTTAATCTAAAAATATACATCTCTAAATTCCTGAGTAATTCTACAGAGTAACATTATGAGGGAGGGGTTCTTCCCAGTGGCTGAGTGTTGAGCAATGAAATAAAGTTGACCCCCACCAAGTGTAAATTATCTGAATATCATCACAGACATCAATAATTTCTGTGTCTAGTATGTATGAGGCTTTGCACAAGGTCTTTTATAAACTATTGTTTCATTTACTTTCTGCAAAGAAACCTACAGAGTAGGTAACATTTGTATTTTACAAATGAGGAGGATGGAGATACAGAGGGCTTAAGCAACAAATGCTCTTAATGTAAAAGCAAGAGAATATAACACAGAGTACAGCAGTAACATGAAACCTGCATATTGTGATGGGAAGAAAACAAACTTGAGCTACATATGCTACTATACATCTTGTATACATTTCTTAAATACTTTTGCTTTCAGAAACAAATTTGTCAGACACATTGCTGTGCTACTATGAAAGCACCTGCTAAGATTACAAAGGTTTAAGATTTCAGCATTAATTATATCAGAGCCCTAACTATGCAACTGAAATAAATACAAGTCAGCTTAAAAATTTCATTAACATGGCTATTACAAAATAAAATGGAATGCTATTAACATTTCAAAGCACAGTATTCATGTCAGTACAAATACTAACCAAAATATTCTAAATGTAATATTTTAAGTCTGAAAAAAAAAAGCTTCAAACCAGATAATTCTGTCACATCATCTAGACATACTGAATTCTTTCCTAAAAAGAACAGAAAAGAAGCCAGGTGCAGAGCTCATTCCTGTAATCCCAGCACCAGCACGTTGGGAGGCTGAGGTGGGCAGATTGCTGGGGCTCAGGAGTTCGAGACCAGTCTTGGCAATATGGCAAAACCCCATCTGTACGAAAACTACAACAATTAGCTGGGCATGGTGGTACAGGGTCTTGCTCTGTCACCCAGGCTGGAGTGCAGTGGCACAATCCTAGCTCAGAAGCTGCTAGGGAAGCACTAATGAGGAAGACATAGCTAACATTCTCCTCTAACATTTTTCTTATCATCAGATGATCCTTAAACAAATAGCTGCTAACATTTAGTATGTACTCACTATGTACCAGGCACCATAATAAAAAATATACATTAACTTTATCAGTTCTTCACAACAACCTTTGAGTTTGGCACTACTATACTATTTTACTGCTAAGGAAAAAAGAAGAGCCAGGCAACACTGCTAAAGGTCACATAGCTATTAATAATAAGCAGAAGACAAAAAAGAATCTTGATATTCTGTGTAGGTAGTACCCACAAAATGCTGTCTCCTTGCTCAAACTGGAGGAAATTCAAGATTTAAAGTATTTCATATGGATAAAATAAAATCTTATGTAGAATCTACTCCAATATAATTATATTGGAGTAGATTCTACATAAGAATCTACTATAGTAGTGGAAGAAAAATGAAGTGGATAATTGTTGAAGAAGAATGATGGATGGCTCCACGGGAACACGGTTTCTATTTTTGTAAATATTTTAAAACTCAAAAAAAAGTAGAAAAAAATCCACTTACAAAAATGACCATTCACAAACATACTGTTGACAAAAGTATAAAGGTAGGTAGAACCCACAAAATACTGTCCGCTTGCTCAAACTGGAGGAAACCAGAGATTTAAATATTTCATATGAACAAAATAAAACCTTATGTAGAAACTACTCCAATACAATCCCCTTAGTTTAAGAAAAAGGAGGTGGATAATTGTTGAAGAAGAATGATGGATCCATGGGAACACATATTGTTTTCTATTTTGTACATACTTTAAACCTCAAAAAAATTAAAAGTAGAAAGAATACACTTAGAAAAATGAGCATTCACAAAAATACTGTTGATAAAAGTATAAACTGGCATAATCTTTAACAAAAGGAGATGGAAGTAGATAATAAAATTGAAAATGTGCATACACATTGCTTTAGCATCCTAGTTTGAGATGTAACCTACATAAGTAACATAAATCTTTACTGTATGTATAAAGTGATTTACTTTAGTACTATAATAGTGAAATAATGAAAACATAAGTGCTAATTAATAGGGAAACAGTTAATAAACTAATCCTGTGGGTAGTCACAGAGGAATATGAAGCTATCCAAGACAAATTATTAAATGATTTTTTAAAAGATGCAAATGAGGCCAGGCATGGTGGCTCACACCTGTAATCCCAGCACTGATGCAGGTGGATCATCTGAGGTCATGAGTTTGAGATCAGCCTGACCAACATGGAGAAACTCCATCTCTACTAAAAATACAAAATGAGCCAGGTGTGGTAGTGCATGCCTGTAATCCCAGCTACGTGGGACGCTGAGGCAGGAGAATCACTTGAACCTAGGAGACAGAGGTTGCAGTGAGCCGACGTCGTACCGTTGCACTCCAGCCTGGGCAACAAGAGCGAAACTCCATCTCAAAAAAAAAAATAAATAAATAAAGATGCAAACCAATATATTTACATTTTGTAACCTAATGTATTTGTGTTGTATACCAGTGTATACAAGCAGGAAAAAAGTTGAGAATTATATAAAAGGTAGTTATAATTTAAGGTGGTTAATGAAGTGTGGGTTTGCTTTCACTACTTACTTTAAATACTTTTTTAGTAGTACAGTCAGATGATTTTTACTTTTTTTGGTATACGCAAGTTAAAAAAAACCAAGACAGCACTTATTAAAACATTGAACATGCTTCTATGTTGCAAGCTCATTCAAAGGCATTTATTTTTGTATCCCAAGGCCCTGCAACATGAAAAAAATATTTACTAAATGAAGGAATGCTGATTACCAGCTACGACTTTCCACAAGACTATGTTCCTACTTACTAAGATTGGTAAACCTATTAAAATCACAATGCAATTAGAAATGATACTTTAAAAAGAAAGAAAATATATCCTATAAAACTTCACTGTTATGAGATTTGTAGAAAAGCAGCAAAATTATCAGTGAGAAACTTCTTCCCTTTTTAGAGAAAAAACCCAAAAAACTTAGAAATTTGGTTCCCAAATAATTGCATGGCCTCAGGTAAGTTACTTAACAGTAAGCTTTAATTTCTTTATCTTAAAAAAACAAACTATTAATACCTCAGGTTCTTATAAGAATTCACAAAGGTATTTTGTAAACTGTGGAGTAATATTAATGAGAAGATACTGTTACGATGTAACAATAAATAAACATGGCTTAAAATTAATTCAGGCATACCTGCATCACCAAACATCAGCAAGGCAGCAGCAATTGCTCCATCCATAGTGCTTGTTGATTCAATCAACTAACAATGAGAAAAGATTAATGTTTTAAATCAGCACTTTAAGAATTATTTCACAGTTACTGAAATATTTAAGAATGAATATATTAAATATATACATAGTAGGAAAGTATGTATGTCATAATTTAAGTTCACTAAATCTGATAAATTTTCAGAAAATTGATCTTACGTGAAAAGTCTGAAATTTAAGCATATTTTAAAATTTATTAAATTCACTCATCCTTACTATAAAGGAAAATTAAAACAATCACATAGATACACTATATTCCAGATTTTTGCAATTTAAATTACAAAGTTTTACACAAAACCTCCTACTAACATGTCCAGGTACTTTGTGCATATGCACGTGTGTGTCAGACAGAGAGAGAAAAGGGAAAGAGGAGACTGACGGACATCTATTTACATTCTTTTTTGAATTTCTAGGAGAAAAAGCACAATTCTACTCTTTCAAAAAATCTAATACTGCTCAAGACGAATCGGATAAGAGCTCTTAATTTTTACTCTATTTCTGAATTGTTTGAATTTTTTAAAGAACATATGCACATATTACTTGTATAACATCATTCCAATATACTGTTTTTATACTGTTCAGTAATTTTAGATTTCAGAAGAAACTAAAATCCCCTATTTTTCTCCTGTTATAGCTTCCCATACTTGAAATGAGTTACTTGTTTTAAAAAGATCTTACTTTTAAATAAGCTACTTTTTATATTAAATCAAGTAGTCTCAAATCAAATGAGAGTGCTCTTTTCCACACTAATTCTTCCTAATCTTGGATGCTCAGATATTCCTATTGGCCCCTCTTCATTTTCAAAATAGTCAAAGCATATTCTTATTGAGCCTAGAACTATTTCACAGCCTCTTCAATTCACTTATATAGGTCTAAAACCTTTTGTTGAGTAATTTATAAACATTACCTTTAAATCTCTTGAAATGAAGGAGATCACTTGAAATACAGATTACTTCAAGAGAGTGCTCTGCTTTGGAGTATGTGATACACTAAATTCCACAATTTCAGATACTGACTAATTAAACATTTGGGGAAATTATGCATACTAATCCTTATTTTTCCAATAAAATTACACAATTAGAGAAAGATATTTTTGTAAGAAAAAAACCCTTTAAACTACATTAAAAGTGGACAATCAGTGAAAGTATTCTTAAACTGAGATTCAGCCCTTTCTGTGGAATACTTTAATACTCCATGTTTATTTTATTGGAAGCTCTTTTCTTATTACCGCTTTGAAATACTTCAGCCCTTGTGTCTACATTTGTTTACATAATAAAAACAAAAAAACAAAACAAAACAAAAAAAACATTAGCAGACAAGTAACACTATGTTAAGAAAATTTAGACTCAAGATATCCCTAAAGTTTCATTTCACTAATAGTAAGAAGGTATCAAAATGATTTTTGGGGAAAAAATTCAGTGGATTCATGTCAAAAATAACATAGAATAAAAATAATGTAATCTATATTTAGAGTTCAAACTGACAGGCACAGAACCACCTATGGTTCACGGACGTATTTCTTTGTCTTGAACAGTATATTTATTTTTGTCTTTCTTTAAATTAGTTAGCATTAAGAGATACAAAGTACATGCTGCAACACAGATGAATCTCTGCCAGTCACAAAATATCACATATCTGATCTCATTTATATGAAATGTCCATAATAGGCCAAAAATAAAAAGGTAGATTGGTGGTTGCCTGGGGCTAGGAGAGGGACAAAATTGGAGAGTGACAGCTAATGGATATAAATTATTTGCTATGACTGACTGCTCTGAGATTATAGTGACAATTGCATAATTTCGTAAATATAGTAAAAACCACTAAATTGTACACTTTAAATGGGTGATCTTTAGGCACAGGAATATAGCTGTTAAAGTGATGACCAATCCTCAATAAAAACCCAGCCTTATGGCTTTATTTGAAAAATGTGAGTATCTAATAAAAATGGGCTATCACTGATAGCTCACATAGCCATGTCCTGCTGGAGCTAGACAGCAGTTACCCCGTTTAAAAAGAGTATGTACGGGCCGGGCATGGTGGCTCAAGCCTGTAATCCCAGCACTTTGGGAGGCCGAGGTGGGTGGATCACGAGGTCAAGAGATCGAGACCATCCTGGTCAACATGGTGAAACCCCGTCTCTACTAAAAAATACAAAAAATTAGCTGGGCATGGTGGCGCATGCCTGTAGTCCCAGCTACTCAGGAGGCTGAGGCAGGAGAATTGCCTGAACCCAGGAGGCAGAGGTTGCGGTGAGCCGAGATCACGCCATTGCACTCCAGCCTGGGTAACGAGAGCGAAACTCCGTCTCAAAAAAAAAAAAAAAAAGAGTATGTACTCCACAGTATACTAGCGTCTACCACTTCAAAGTTACCTGTCTAGTTGACACAGATACGATAACTCCTAAGTCTCACATTGTGGCGAGAACTGGTAGTGGTAGCAGCAACAATAGATGCAAAGTTGAAAATACAAAGAACCTGCAATTAAATGATTCCCCTAAGATCATTTAACTAATAAGTGGTAGAGCTAGGGTTAGACTGTTTATTAATATTCAGAAATTTATTCTTTATTTAAAACTTAATTGGCCAATTTTTATTTACTCTTATAATCAGAGATACCTATACATCAAACTTTTACAGTTCAACCATACCCATTTATTTTGCTTCTACAGTATTTCTCAGCAAGAGTGCTACTGGAGGACTAAGGATCCTTAGTTATGTAGGACTGCCCGTGGTACTGTAGGGTGTTTAGCATTGCTGCCTCCAGCACACTAAATGTCACTGCAAACCCTTGTCACAGTTTTGTGGAGTGGTTCCTGACATTTCTGAGTATTTCTAGTGGAAATAGGGAGGTCACGCATTTTAGAAACACTCAAACACAAAACAACCTATGTTCACTAGTAAGGCTTTAATTATTCTATTATTTACAAATGAATAACCTTGTCTGTTAATAAGTAAAGACTTCTGATACACAAATTTCTGGCATTTAATTCCTTTAGATTTAATAGTCAATATCTTTAAACATAAGATATCTTTATAAAAATGACTAACCACTCACTACTAACTATAGCACTGGATGCAGGAAAGATTTTATCATCATTACAGCTACAATAACCAATTACTGTAAAAGAATATAACCTTAAGTAAATCACTGTCACTTCTTTGTGGAAAAAGTTCCTTCAAAGTCTGAAGTTTAGCATCTTTAAGATCTTCCAATTCCGAAAGGTCTTCCAATTCTGAAATATCATCATTTCTACGTGCTGTGGTAGGAAGGCCTTGGGATTCTTCATCTTCAGATGGCTCAGAACTAAAAATATTTTCAGAAGAGGAAAAAACATTTTTAATGTATTACTAATATTTCATTATACTGTCTGTGTATAGTACAACACATCTGCAGTTCTTTTCAATAGTAAATGCAATCTATACTTGTCAGAAAGTAAGAGAACTTTTATTTCCATTTCAGTGTAGTTATGTGAAAAATCTACATTACCAACACCAGCATACACTAAAAAAAGTCTCAACTCTGAGCTGGGATGGAAAAAAAAAGGAACTTCCTAGAATTTATTTTGTTAGGATTCATACACATTTATTGCATGTCCACTTCCTCTTTACTCAACTTTCACCAACACTCTCCATATTAGACAAAGTTATGCGGCTCCTGAAACCCTATGAAAATTACACTGTTACAAAGATAAAGTAATTTTCAGGCCTACCTAGGTGTGATCAGGATCTAAGTGTTAAAATCAGAATGGGCCCATTCAATGTAAGAATTGTAGGGGGCAGATCCCGTAAGTGCTGAGGCAGGAGCCAGAAGCCGCAGCCTATATCCATATAAGTAATGAAAAAGAAAGTAACTAGAAACATAACCATAGTAGTTATTATTCATATATGATCTTAGTTATTCACAGGTGATCTTAATTCTTTAACTAATGCCTCTCAGGTCGAAGTGTGAATCTGGGGCGACACTGTGAAATGAATGACCCT